ACGCACATAACAAAATTAAATATAAATATTATATGAAAAACTTAAACATGGAAAACCTTAGAAACATCAGAAACAGCCTTGGCAACTAACTGAAATAAGTTGAAATAAACAAAAAAAAAGTAAACAAAAAAATAAAGATAAACTGACATCAAAAAACAAATACACATAAAATAAAAATAATAGAAAAAAAAAACTTCAATCTAAAAAAATGTTGCCTTGGCAACTTACTGAAATAAGTTGAAGTACAAAAATTACTAAAACTAAAACTGAAATAAAAATAAATCAAAGCTAAATAGAAACATGACAAAATGACAAAAACACATTACTAAATTACTAAAATTGAAACTAAAATTTATTTGAACTTAAAATTAAAATTAATATAAATATTAAAATATAAAGTTGTAAAATAATAAATAATATTAAAATTATGAAATCATATTAATAATAAAATATAAAAATAAAAGCTAATTCTAAATATTTCCTTAAATTAAAGAAATTAAGGCCTCCTAATATATTCAGGTTTTCAGAGACCGTGAGAATCCTGGTTCTTCAAAGACCAAAAAAAAAAAAAGGTTGTTGAGGGGGTGAATTTAAAAAGTGTCTTGATTTTTAGTTGTTTTAACGTATTTTAAATCATTTTAAGTCATCTTGAGGCCATCTGAGAACCACTGAAATAAGTCCTCGTTTCATTCTCATTCTTCTAACGTAATGAACCAATATTTCATGTCCATTTATTTATTTGATAAGCAGACATGTTTACCCAATAATGATAGTGTAACTGTATTCCTGAAGCTCAAACAGTAGATCATGGTGCTAGCAACACCAAGGTCATGGGTTCGATTCCAGGAAATGCATGAACTGATTGCTTACATTCCTCTATTGCAAGCAGCTTTGGATAAAAATGTCTGTTAAATGCATAAACGTAAATGAAACTATCATAACAAACTCTTATTAAAAACAACTGAATCTTATCTGGTGCCTATAGATAAAGAGGATTATGTGCACAGTAGAGCGCTGCGCTAGCAATGCCAAGGTCACAGGTTTGATGAGGCGTTCTGGGATCTGCAGAGACTGTAAGAGAACATTGCGTGTTACGCAGACGCCTGCGCAGCACAGGAGGGATCGACAGCAGACAAACCCGCTCTCACACCCACAGATGGCAGAGACACGAGAACAGAGCAGCGCAATCGATCGAAACAGAGAGAGAGAGAAGATACTCATCGATAATTCACACGAGCTGCTGCTGGAGACATACACAGACAGACAGAGGGACAGACTGACGGACAGACAGACAGATAGACGGATGGACAGGCAGACAGATGGATGGACGGACGGATGGACAGACAGACGGACAGACATCAGACAGACAGAGGGACAGACTGACGGACAGACAGACAGATACAGACAGATGAATGGACGGACTGACAGACAGACAGACAGAGGGACAAGTCAGACAGCAGATGGACGGACAGACAGACAGACAGACGGACAGACATCAGACAGAGAGATACAGATGGATGGACTGACGGACGGACAGCCGACAGACAGACAGAGGGACGGTCAGACAGATGGACAGACATCAGACAGTCAGATAGCAGATGGACGGACGGACAGACAGACAGACAGACAGACAGAGGAACAGACAGACAGACAGCAGACAAACAGACAGACAGAGGGACAGTCAGACAGACAGCAGATGGACAGACAGACAGCAGACAAACAGACAGACAGAGGGACAGTCAGACAGACAGCAGATGGACAGACAGACAGAGAGCAGATGGACAGACTGACAGCAGCCAAACAGACAGACAGCAGACAAACAGACAGCAGATGGACGGACTGACAGACAGACAGCAGACAGATAGACAGACAGACAGACAGACAGTCAGACAGACAGACAACAGATGGACG